TTCCTTCTGTACTGAAGACTACTGTTGTACCTCTCTAGTGAATTTTTCATTTGGGCCATTGTGCTTTTCAACTGCAGAATTTCCATTTGTTTCTTTTTTGTAATTTCTCCCTCTTTATCAATGTTCTCTATTTGATGAATCATTGTCATCATATCTTCCTTTAATTCTTTCCATAAAACTTTAGAATAAGTTTGTTGACATTCACAAAATAGCTTGCTAGGATTTTAATTGGGATTACATTGAATCTATAGACAAAACTAGGAAGAACTGGCATCTTAATATTGAGCCTTCCTATCCATGAACATGGCATATCACTCCATTTATTTAGATCTTCCTTGATTTCTTTCATCAGAGGTTTGTAGTTTTCCTCATTTAGATCTTGTACATATTTTGTTAGATTTATACCAAAAGGTTTTTTATGCTAATAAATTAAATTGTGCTTTTAATTTCAAATTCCAGTTATTCATTGTGGTATATAGGAAAGCAATTGACTTGTATATTAACCTTGTATCCTTCATCCTTGCTATAATTACTTACTCGTTCCAGGAGTATTTGTGTTGATTCTTCAAGATTTTCTATGTCACATGTGAACAAACACATTTATTGCTTCCTTTCTAGTCTGCCTTTACCTTTCTTGTCTTATTGCATTAGCTAGGACTTTCCAAATGATGTTAAATAGGAGTGGTTAAGAGGAGACATTGTGTATTGTTCCTGATCTTACTGAGAAAGTATCCAGTTTCTCACCATTAAGCATGTCAGCTGTAGATTTTTTGTAGATTTTATCAAGTTGAGGAAGTTTCCCTCCATTCCTAGTTTGTTGAGATTTTTATCATGAATGGGTGTTGGATTTCACTAAATGCTTTTTCTGCATGAACTTATATGATCATATGATTTTTCTTCTTTAGCTTTTTGATGTGATGGATTACATTAATTGATTTTTGAATGTTCAACCAACCTTGAATACTTGGGATAAATCCCACTTGGTTGTGGTGTATAATTCCTTTTATACATTGTTGGATTTGATTTGCTAATGTTTCGTTCAGGATTTTTATATCTATCTTAACGAGACAGTGATCTATGGTTTTCCTTTCTTGTAATGTCTTTGTCTGCTTTTGCTATTAGGGTAATGCTGGCCTCAGAATGAGTTAGAAAGTATTTCTTCTGCTTCTATTTTCTGAAAGAGATTGTAGAGAATTGGTGTAAGTTCTTCCTTAAATGTTTGGTAGAATTCACCAGTGAACCCATCTGTTCTTGGTGCTTTCTGTTTTGGAAGGTTATTGATTGTGATTCATTTTCTTTAATAGACGAGCTTATTCAATGATTATCTAATTCTTCTTGTGTGAGTTTTGGCAGATTATCTTTCAAGGAATTTATCCATTTCACCTGGGTTATCAAATCTGTGCGCATAGAGTTGTTCATAATATTCCTGTATTATCCTTTTAATGTCTATGAGGTCAGTAGTGATGTTCCTTTTCATTTCTGATATTAGTAATTTGTGTCTTTTCTCTCTTTTTTTCTTAGACTGGCTAAACGTTTGTCAATATTATTGATCTTTTTTAAAGAATCAGCTTTTGGTTTTGTTTGATTTTCCCTATAGATTTCTGCTCTAATTTTTATTATTTACTTTCTTATGCTTACTTTGGATTTAATTTGTCCTTTTTTCTATTTTCCCAAAGTAGAAGCTTAGATTAATAATTTTAGAATTTTCTTTTTCTAATATACACATTCAATGCTATAAATTTCCCTCAAAAAATTGCTTTCACTGCATTTAACAAATTTTGATAAGTTGTATTTTCAACTTCATTGAAATTATTTTTCACTTCTTTTTAGACTTCTTTGACACATGTGTTAGAATTGTGTTGATTAATCTCCAAGTATTTGGGATTTTCCAACTACCTGTTATTGATTTCTAGTTTAATTCCATTGTGGTCTGAGAGTATACTTTATGATTTCTATTCTTCTAAATTTGTTAATGTGTGTTTCATGTTGTCTTGGGAAATGTTCTGTCTGAGTTGGAGAAGAGTGTATTCTGCTGTTGTTTGACGAAGTATTCTGTAGATGTCAGTTAGACCAGTTGATTGATGGTGTTGTTGATTTCAACTATGTTGAATCAACTCACTGATTTTCTCCCTGCTGGATCTATCTGTTTCTGATAAACAGCTGTTGAAGTTTCCAACCATAATAGTGGATTCATCTCTCTCTCTTTGATAGTCTGTCAGTTTCTGCTTCATGTGTTTTGCTGCTCTGTCATTAGGTGCAAACACACTAGAGATTATGATGTCTTCTTGGAGAATTGGCCCCTTTATCACTTCATAATGCTCCCTCTTTATCCCTGATAATTTTCCTTGCTCTGAAGTCTGCTTTGCCTGAAACAGTTACTCCAGCTTTGTTCTGATTAGTGTTAGCATGGTATATGTCTTTGTACCTTTCCCTCCCTCTCTATTCTTCAGTTTTCTTCTTCAGTCACATCTACCCTATTGCTGACCCCATCAAAGACACTGTTCATTTCTGTTACAGAATTTTTTATTTCTAGAATTTCCTGTTAATTCTTAGAACTTCCATCTCTCTGCTTATATTACCCATCTGTTCCTGCATGTTGTACACTTTTTCCATTAGAGTTCCTAGCATATTAATCAGTTATTTTAAATTCTCAGTCTGATAATTCCAACATTGCTGGCACATATGAATCTGATTCTGATGCTTGCTTTGTCTCTTCAGACTAGGCTTTTTCTCTTTGACTATGCCTTGTTTTTTTTTGTTGTTGTGGAAAGTTGGACATGATACCCAGTTGCACTGCATAAAACTCTAGTGAATAGGCCTTTAGTGATGTGGTGGTAATATGGAGGGGGAGAGGAACATCCTATAGTTTTTTGATTAGGTCTCAGTCTTTTAGTGATCATGGGCCCCTGGGAGTGACCTTCACAACTGCTTCTGTCTTCCTTCCACACCCCTCCCCCTTCCAGCGAAACAGGAAGACTAAAGGGAACCGGAGTTGGATATTTCCCTTACTGCAGTTGGTTAGACTGTTAAGACCCAATGTCATTGGGCTCTAGTAAAATAGTTTCCTTTGAGGCCACACTTTTGTTAAGAACAGAATTTGGGGGGCATATTTCAAAGTGTTTGCTTTCTCCTCCTCCTGATGGAAGCAGAGAGTTTTTCTCTGATATTCACTGTGAGAATCTGGCGGGGCTTGAGGAAGTAAACTTCACAAAAGTGTACCCCTGCCTGGTCTCCAGGAGTTTTTAACTCTCTAGTCATGCTTGGTCTTCAGTAATTAGTCAATTACCCTTTAAGTATTCCTGCCTGATACTGGCTCCAACAGTGGTTTCTCCTTCAGGTACTGTGATTCTCTGTATTTGTCAGTGTTTTCAGAGTGCGTCAAGTTTTCAGAGTGGTGATTTGTCCTGTGACCTCAATTCTCTCATAGATCAAACAGTTGATTTTAAGTTTTTCAGCTTTTTTCTTTGTGTTAGGATGGAAGCTATGACTTCCCAGGTTCCTACATGTTGGACAGGAAACTCTAAGTCCCCTGTGCTGCTTTTTAAGAAACTGCCAGTTTTCCAGACTGGTTGTACCATTTTGTATTATACCAGCATTGGATGACAGAACCAGTTGCTCCACATCTTCACCAGCATTTGGTATTGTCACTACTTTTTATATTAGCTGTTCTAACAGGTATGTAGTGATTTCTCAATGTGGTCTAAATTTGTATTTCCCTAATGGCTAGTGATGTCAAATATTGTTTTCATGTGCTTATTTGCCATCCATATATCCTCTTCAGTGCAATGTCTCTGTATTCTTTTGTCTATTTTCTAATTGGATTGTTTGCTTTTTTGCTGTTGAGTTTTTGGAGTCCTTTACATATTCTAGATATGAATCTGTCGCCAGATAGGTAGTTTACAAATATTTTCTCTCAGTCTTAAGATTGCCTTTACATCCTTTTAAAAGTATCTTTGGAGAGCCAAAGCTTTTAATTTTGATGAGGTCTAATTTTTTGTCAAGTTTTTCTTTTATGAATTTTTTGGCAAAAACTATTTATCAAGAACTATACAATAGGTCCTGAAGACTTTCCGCCATTTTCTTCTGAAGGTTTTATGTTTTACATTTAAATCTCATCCTTCTGTTACTTTTAGTACAAGGAATGAGGTTTAGGTAGAGGTTCTCTTTTTTGTTTGCCTATGAAATCCAATTGGTCCCTCAGGTAACTAATGAATCATCTCTATCACAAATTATCAGCACTAGATAATCAGCTTGCTTTCCTTTTTGCTAAAACTAACCCACCGAAAATAGAGATTTTTAATTAGGGAAGAGGTGAGGTGGATTTATAATTTTTTGCAATTATGGAGGTGTATTTCAATTGAGACTTTAGGCATCTGGTTCTCAGCATGAAAATATCAGAAGGTAGGAAGACAAGGCTGCCCAAGACGGGGGTGAAGAGAAAAACATGAGTTGAAAAAAAATTAACTTCCCTCAATTCTACCCTTTTGCCTAGTGTTTAGATCATAGCAAACCCCAAGTAAAAAAAAACAAAAAAACAAAAAAAACCTACACTATTTGCATGCAAATTATGTTAAGGCATAAAGCATAGCTTAAATCAGTGTTTAGCAAACTGCAGTCATCTGTGGATTACCTCAATACTTTTGCCATATCTACAGATAATATGTACTACATGATTTTTTGCTTTACTCAGGAACAATAATATAATTTCCTTAACACATTTTAATGATATCACTAAAATTATCAGGTGATGCTTTGGAAATTGATTAGCATACCATGTGAAGTATTATAAATAAAACCAAGACTCTTATCAGACTGTGATCAATATTACTTTCCTACTAGGTTTGACATAAAATCTCTGCTTGATGTTCCTGTGAGAACTTTGGTTCCATACCTACTATTCTCATTAGGAATCAGACTGAAGTATCAAAATGTTGCTCTGGTAGCTGGTGGAAAAGAAAATGGGAGGGTAGTTGGGAGTGGAATAAACAATACTCTCTAAGTAGCAGTATTCACGTTTTTATTCAGCAGTATAAAGTATATGTAGTCAACATCATTATTTTCATTTGCAAATGGAAAAGTTGGGACGTATAAAAACCAGTACTTGACTTTTTATCAAGATCATCTGACATCAAATTACTCACATCCAGGCTTCTGCAGGTCTGAAATTTTCTTCCCATTTTACTTCCCATCCTTACATGATAGGAGCATGTAATGGGAATTCCAGTTGAGAACACTTTTATTAAAAAAAAGAAAAAAAGGATCAGCATAGTCAAGTTGTCTTAGTCTTAAGGATTTCTGGATTTCGTCCTTGGAGGAAGTCAGGATCTTCCCAAGGCCTGGGTCCTCGAATATTCTTCCAGTCATCAAAAGCAGAGTCCTTTATTTTCTATAGAGCCATAAAAATTAAAGTATATATACATATATTAGTGTAGGAGCCCGGTCACTTTGATTAGGACATCACTGAATGAATAAATAACTGAGTGGAAAGAATCCAACAGGTGCTCAATTGTAATATTAGCAAATAAATCAATTGCATATCAAGCATAATAATTGAATAAATGTTCATATTTCTTAGGATTTAGAATTTTCCTTGGGGCTATTGATGTTAATGCCTATCTTTTCCCCCTTAAGAATAAAAGTATTAAAACAGAAAAAGAGTCCACAAGCTTTATTTTTGAGAACACAAAGAAAGGGAAGAAACTGGGAAAACAAAAGTCCAACTTCTAAGGCTGATCTAGCATAATAATGACCAGCAGAGATTAGCATGGGTGATGGTAGGAAATGAGAAGAAAAGAACAAATGTGGTGATCCTCAAGTCTGCCAGAAGGAAGAAAAGAGAACAAGATGATTTGTCCTGCACCTGAGAAATGAGCTTGGGCTTCAGTACGAGTAGACTCCCCATAGCTGCCACGAGCAAAGCCCTTCTGGGCAATAAAAACTAGCTTCAATTCCAGTTTGCATCATCTACCTTCAGTTAGTGTGAAGTGTCTCTCAAGCACAACAGAAGGCAGGACAAAAGGCAAGAACACAAACGTTTCTTCACCCTCTGTCACCACTCCCACAGTAACTTTCATGCATTTTCATACAAAAAGTGAACTATAAGAGATGGAACATCCTCCCTTCACCACATCCTATAATACAATGTGCCATTAAACTCTTCGATTTTTGCTAATCAGATACGTGAAAAACGTCACCTTACTATAATTTTAACTGACATTCCTAGTATAAATTAAGCATTTCTTCCTATGTTTAAGAATGATATTTATTTCCTTTTCTCTGAATTCTTTACATGCTTTGCCCATGTTCCTACTGACCAACTGAGTTAAATTTTCCATCTTGGTTTATAGATGCTCTTCATATTTAAATAAATTAATTCATCATGATAAGATAAACAATATTTTTAGGATTTCTCATTTAACTAGTGACTTTATATACATTTTTTTTTTAGACTGCACTTTTGAATTTTTATGTATGAACTCATCAACCTTTACTTTTAAAGCTTCTAGGTGTTGTATTGGGGCTGGCCCCATGGCCAAGTGGTTAAGTTGGTACACTCTGCTTTGGTGGCCCAGGGTTTCACTGGTTCAGATCCTGGGCACGGCCACGGCACTGCTCATCAAGCCACGCTGAGGCGGCATCCCACATGCCACAACTAGAAGGACCCACAACTGAAAAAATATATATACAGCTATGTACCGGGGGGCTTTGGGGGAAAAAAGGAAAAATAAAATCTTTTTAAAAAATCTTAAAAACAAAAGCTTCTAGGTTTTGTATTAAACAGGCTTTTCTGACTTAAGACCACAAGAAAGAATCTCCATTCTTTTCTCCTAGTACTTTTAGCATTTTGTTTTTTATTTTTAAATTCTTGATCCATCTAGGATTTATTCATTTGTAGTATATAAAATACATATCCATCTTTATTTTCTTTTCAAATGACTACATAGTTGTCCCAATACCATATGTTCAAGGGAAATAACTTCTTTCTGCACTGGTAATAACTTAAATTTACCTTTAGGCAGACAGAACCAGTCACTGCCATGGAAGATTGTTACAAAAGAGAGACTATATTAACATATTGTACCTCATACTCTGATTCCAACGATATTTTATTCATTTTCAGTTTTTTTTCTAATTCAGGATCAATCTGTAGAAAAGAAAGAGGAGCCAAAAGTTATTTAAGTCAGTTAGATTCAATTTTCAATTTAAAAAGTTACATAAGGGATGGCTGGGATGGTACGGTGGATTACAAAAAGATGGCAAAATCTCCACTATCCATCCAATCGCATAATGATAACTAACGTACTACCACCACCAACCACCACAAGTAACTGCAGCTAAGATTTACTTATCAATTGATAGGGAGCACTTGTTATGTGCCAGGCGTTTTGACATATATTATCTCTTAATCCTCACAAAAACCTATGAGGTAAGTATTATTATGATGATCACAAGTAAGGATAATGGGACACAGGGGGTTTGAGTTAACTTCTCAAAAAGGCAGAACTTGGCTTTGAACCTTGGCTCCCAGCTTTCAGAGTCCATGCTATCAACCACCATCCTAAATTATGTTATTATACATAGAAATGACATACTAATAAATATAATGCTGCCCTTGAAAACAAAAAAGAACACCTTCCATATACCAGAAACAAAGAAGTATCTAAAAAGAACTAGACAAGACTCCACAATGGTAAACAGGAGCTGATGCCCTGTTACCTATGTGTGGCAAAGGCTTTAGGAAAGAAGAAAGTGATTTCTGAAATTAATAAGTAACAACAAAACCCAAATTAAAATAAATGGAATAGCAGAATAGTGACTGAATATAGCTTAAGACCAAATTAGTACACCAGAAATACAACCTAAGGATTCCATTAGAATGATGCAGAAAGCATTGGGATAAATGAAAGAAAAGGTAAATTATGAAAGCTAGATCCAAAAGTTCTAATATATGTCTGTTAGGGCTTTTGGAATTAGAGAATAAGGAGAATGGAGGAAGGGCAATAATTAAATAATTAGTAATTAAGTATACAATATATAGAGAGGACATGAGTTCTCAGACAGAAAGAACAAAATAAAAAATAACCACAACAGGGGCTGGCCCAGTGGCATAGCAGTTAAGTTCACACGCTCCGCTTCGATGGCCAGGGGTTCACAAGTTCGGATGCTGGGTGCAGACCTAAGCACTGCTTATCAAGCCATGCTGTGGCAGGTGTCCCACATATAAAATAGAGGAAGATGCATACAGATGTTAGCTCAGGGCCAATCTTCCTCAGCAAAAAGAGGATGATTGGCAGTGGATGTTAGCTCAGGGCTAACCTTCCTCAAAAATAAACAAATAAATAACCACCACCACAACAAAAAAAGAGCCCATTCTTAATCAAGTAACAGTAAAACTTTAGAATATTAAAAATAAAAAGAAAATCTCAAAAAGAATGAAAAGATAGCCTACTAACAAAGGGATGAGAATTAGAAAAAAAAGACTACTCATAAGCAACTTCAAATGCTACAATAAGATGATGCTACATCTTCAATGTTGATATAGAGAGATGATTACTTTGAACCTCAATTTTACTTTCATATTTTCTCTTTTCTTTCTTGGTTTCTACTTGATTTTTTCTCAATCACTGTTTTGAGAGGTAGAAATACATACAACCATATCAATAATCCCAGTAAATGTTGAAGTAATCTATTAAGTAACAGAAATTTTCTGACTCAAATTTTTAGAAATCCAGTTATACACTACTTACAAGAAATGCACTAAAAGAAAAAAAATGAAAGCACAAGGTTGGAAGGTAGAGGGTTACAAAAATGATATACCAATAAAAAACTAGTGGGGCCAGGGGGCTCAATACATAGCAATATTCATAATGGACAAAACAGAATTCAAGGCAAACACCATCAAAAAGGAATACTTTATATCGATAAATAAAACAATTTTTCAAGAAGATATTAGAATTATAAAATATTACGTGACTACATTGCTTAGAAATTTATGTAGCAAAATGGGTAAAAATATAAGAAGAAATAAACACACAAAACATACTAGAAGAGCTTAACATAACAGATTAAGCAGATTATAATCATGATTACTGAAAGATGACTAAAATAATTAACAAGTTTTCTAATAGGTATATATAGAATTTTGAGCCCAGCAAATTTAGATTGCCATTTCTCATCAAATACATACAAGATATTTATAAAAATTAAACTTGTTCTAGGGCAGAAAGGAAAACTAGGCAAATTCACATGTAGAAAATATTGACATACATACCACATTCACTGACTACAATTGATAACACTTAAAAATCAATAGCAAAAAGATATTTGCAGTAAGAATCCATACACATGAAAGCTAAAAGGTTTTAAAATACATTAATGTGTTAAAGAGGAAATCAAAGAGAAAATTATGAAGTCTTTAGAAGTGAAGAGCCACACTGTTTTTGTTGAAGTTTTTCATTCTAGTAGTTTTAATCTTCTTGGGTAGACAAATTTCTTGGTATACAACATTTCATCTGTACATAAAAATGACATTTTCATCTCTTTCTTTCTAAACTTCATACCATTTATTTCTTTTTGCTGTTTGATTACATAGGCTATGATATCCAAAATAGTACTGAAAAGTAGTTACAATTATAGATATTCTTTTCTTCTTCCTAGGTTTAATGAGAATATTTCTAAAGTTTCTCTATTAAGAATATTTACTGGGGCCGGCCTGGTGGAGCAGCAGTTAAGTTCACACGTTCTGCTTCTCGGCAGCCCAGGGTTCGCTGGTTCAGATCCCGGGTGCGGACATGGCACCGCTTGGCACGCCATGCTGTGGGAGGCGTCCCACGTATAAAGTGGAGGAAGATAGGCATGAATGTTAGCTCAGGGCCAGTCTTCCTCAGCAAAGAGAGGAGGATTGGCAGTAGTTAGCTCAGGGCTAATCTTCCTCAAAAAAAAAAAAAAGAATATTTACTACGATCACAGTTAAGAGAATTCAACAAAGTGGCAAAATCAACACACAAAAATCAAAGTGCATAAATCCACAAACAATATCAATAGGGTTTCTTTACTCAAGTAAAAACGAATTAGAAAATGTAAAAGAAAGAAATACCTAACTAGAATAGTGTTATCTATTTAAAAAACTGAACTTATAGTTTAAAACATTTGAAAAGAAAACTTGAGGCTTTGATGGTTTCACTGACAAATTCCCTAAAATATTTAAAGAAGTAGTAATACCAATTGTACACAATCTTTTCCAGAAAATAAAAAAGGAGGGAACACTTCCCAATTCATGTTATGAAGCCAGCATTATCCTGATACCAAAACCAGACTGTTGGGGAGGAAAAACTTTCCCTTCTTCCTTTCTAGGTTCATTGGTTGGCCTAATTGACATAAGACAGATTAACAGGAGAAAAACAAATTTAATTATGTATGTATGGGAGCTCCACAAAGCCATGAGACTCACAGGCAGTAAGGCAACTGAGGCTTATATACCATCCCGAGCTAAGGAAAAAGTGGGTACAGCTCTCAGGTTCCAAAAGGGAGGAAGACAATTCACAGGATGATGAGAAGAGCAAATGTTTGGTAAACAAGTGTTTGCCCTGCCATGCAGATAACTGTTTCTGATATAAAAAGTCATGTCTGGTAATAACGCTCTTCCTGGTACAGGCCTCCTATCTAAACTCTTTTAGGCAGTTAAAAGAGAGGTAAAAAGCTTTTCCTGAGCCTGCTAGGTCTTAACTGCCTTTACCTCAAAACAATACACATGCCAAAGTGGCACATTTTGGGGTAGCATATTCTGCCCCCCAACAAGACCAAGACAGTAGAAGGAAAAAAACCCCAAAACTACAGACCATAATAATCTCTAGTGTAACCTCTACTGGAAGAATAAAGTATAGCTTCCAAACTAACAGAACAAAAACATAATAATAAAGTATTAGTAATCCAAAGGAGGAAAAAAAAAGACAAAAAGAAACGATTGCAGAGAAGATCCAAGATGGCGCCGTGAGTAGTCCTCTTTGTCTCTCGCCCTTCGAGTCTACAATTATTTGGACACTTATCGCTTGACAAAGGATATCCAGACAGCATCTCAGGACGTCTGAGACACCCACGCGACTATACATCGGAAGGCGGACGGACTTTCCTCCGGGAGGATGTGGAAATAGGTGAAAACTCTCCGACCCCGACGGGCAGCCTAGTACCCGCAAGCGGCTTTCTTCCAACAGACGCCCCCAGAGGATCCACACACATCTAGGGCAGGAGCGAGAACACAACAGAGGAGCGACGGTGGAAACAGGTGACCAGAACCCTACCTAAACCCCCCGCAATTACTCCTAAACGCAGAGGGAAACTTTGGAGTTGCACACCTGGGCCCGCGGGGAGAGTCTCTCCCCGCCATTGGCGGGGAGACCCAGCCTGGTGCTCGGGGCGCCCGGAGGGTCCCAGAGAGAGTCTCTGAGGGTACGGAGGTCTCCCAGCTGCCGTTGCCCGCCCCGTGGGACTAGGGATTGCCGGAGATCTCGGAGAGGACCGGGGCTGGAGGAACTTTCAAAGGCCGGTTCTGCGACCCGGAGGGGAAGCGCCGGAGCTCTGCCCGGGCAGCAGACAGGGCTCTCTGTCTGCCGTTAGCGGAGGGGCCACGCTGAGCATTCACGGCTCCGGGAGAGGCCCGGAGGGAGTCCCAGAGGGCGGGGCGACCCCCGGCTGCCGTTGCCCGCCCCGTGGGGCTGGGGATTGCCGGAGATCTTGGAGAGGACCGGGGCGGGGGGAACTTTCAAGGGCCGGTTCTGTGACCTGGAGGGGAAGCGCCGAGGTTCCGCCAGGCAGCAGACAAAACTCTCTGTCTGCCATTAGCAGAGGGGCCACGCCCAGCATTCAGGGCTCCCGGGAGAGGCCCGGAGAGAAGCCCAGAGGGCGGGGCGACCCCCAGCTGCCGTTGCCCGCCCCGTGGGACTAGGGATTGCCAGAGATCTCGGAGAGGACTGGGGCTGGGGGAACTTTCAAAGGCCGGTTCTGCGACCCGGAAGGGAAGCGCCGGAGCTCCGCCCAGGCAGCAGACAAAACTCTCTGTGTGCCATTAGCAGAGGGGCCACGCCGAGCATTCACGGCTCCGGGAGAGGCCCGGAGAGAAGCCCAGAGGGCGGGGCGACCCCCAGCTGC